ATAATTCACAACGAACGATTCACGCGCTTGACTCAATTGTCCGTCTCTATCTCGGTCTGCAATTCAATTCCCCTTGTTGCCGTCACTTCTTGGCGGTCTTATATACAAGAATACCGCACATCTAGTAAACACTCGAGCATTCACGAACCTACGAGAATATCATGACGTGTTACTAGCGTCACGTGACTTCCGCTGTCGTAACAGTATTAAGGGAGTTCTTAGGTCATCGTGATTTCTATTAGTCGTCTAGTAATGGACTAACATAAATTAATAGAGGAAATAAGTAAAAAAAGTTACATATAAAATAAACTTGTAGTTGAAATTGTGAAAATTGTTAATTACTACTCTAAAGACAGTATATATATGTATAACATTAAAATGCGCGTTATTTATGAAAAACCTATTTACACATTTTTGTGAATTAAATACAGCTGAAGGTATTGAAATGCTTTGTCTCTTCTGAGATAAAATACGGTTAAAACAATCTGACGTTATTTCTTTAGTTTAAAAAATACTTTAAATTTCAGTATCGCATTTTGAGAACTGTTAAGAAGATGTATCAATAAAGTTTTCTGTGTCACAAAGATTGTGGAGTCAGTCTTTTTCTACAGTTAAAAATAAAAAATAAATTAATTTTTTTTTACATTTAAAGGTCATTACAATTGTAAATTTTGAATAATATAACAAATATTTTTGAAAGATTTGTTTGATGAATAATTTACTGCTCCAGTCATGTTTGTAAAAAAAATTACATCTTCATGTTCCAGAGATTTTGAGAAACGAAATAATAAAATATTTTACATATTTAATAAACACTTCTCTAAATTTAATATAGCAGGTAAAAATTTCAATACCCCTAAATTTGGCGGGAAAATCCCAAACGACCTACATAGTTGTTGTAAAGAAAGTTTACAACTGAATAATTTTTAAACACATTATTTTGTATTTTCTAAATGGCAGCTTTAAAGTTAATATATGTTTGACTAAAATAAAAACGTTTTATATTTTACCAAAATGAAATGTTGCCGTCATTAAACTTGTGTTGGTGGGGAAGGCGATTTGGCATTGGACTGTGAACGTGTATTAGTCGTGGCTGTAGAAGAATGAGGTCCATAAACTTGGTTGGATACTGCCGCTCCTCGTCCGTTAACACTACATTCAAGTCCTTTCTAATAACAAGAACATATATATATATTACAAGTAAGTTGTGCTTCAGAAGATGATGACACAAAAACATAAAGAATCGTTCACTCGTTATGTTTCACTAAGATGCTTGTTTGTTTTATGTCAAGCACAAATCATTATCGAAACACGATTTTTAGCGTTTTAAGCCATCAGACTTACCACTAAGGGGCGCCAAAGAACTCTTTGAATGATAACTGTGCAAAGTTACCAAAGGGAAAACAATTTAACGTTTCCTTTCAAAGACAACAGGAAGATTTTACAAATTTCTTGTACAGACTAAATTCATCGAATCGCAACAACTAACTGTTATCAGATTGATTTATTTTAACTGAGTCACCAAATTAAAAAAAAGAGAGATAAACATCGAAGACCTTAAGAAATGACGAAACAAAAGTAGATGAAATAATTAATATTAAGTGGTACAACAGTAAGTCTGAAGGCTTACAACATTAAAAATCAGGTTTCAATACCCGTGGTGAGCACTTCACAGATGGCCCATTGTGTAGTTTTGTGCTTAACTACAAATAAACACAAATTAATGTAGAAGCGAACTGTTAATTCAAAGCTTCTGCTTCTTACAAGAAAAGCCACTTTGCAAATAGAAATATGGACATTTAACCAATAACGATAAAACTGCCATTGTTACATAACCATATGACAACACTACCCTCGCTCATCATTACGGCCACTGTAAAATATTCCTGTTTTTTTTTTTTTGAAGTTATCGTTAAAAATCCATCTGGAATACTTCACATTTGTCCATCATTAAAGTTTACGTTCTTGTGTCTTAATGTACATTTGTACTCTAATCAAGCTAGAGAAATTTGAAACTCATTAAAACTTAAGTATAGTATAAATAACAACACAACTCTAGTGGCTATAACATTTATATCACAATTTTGTAAACAAAAATAAAAAAATCCCGTACTTTTAATTATAATTTAACCTTTGGGGAATTTAAGCTTCGTGTTTGAAAGCTGAGAAAAACAGAAAACAAAACATTATAATATAATACTTTCAAATATGTCTTTATGTTTCAATAATTTTCCAAAACTGTTGTAAAACAAAAGAGATACAAAAAAGATAAAATTATTGAAGTACCATCTGTCTAGTTTCTCCTTTTGAGGATCCTTCTGGATTGGCTGGGGATTCGGGATGTTCTTTCACTGGACTACTAAGAACCTCCTGACTGCCAGAGGGCGTTACTACAATATTAATGAATACGAACTTCAACGTACGAAACGTCATGAATATGTTCATATTCATGTTTTCCTGAAACGACTCAGACAAGAAATGATTCATTTACTGATCTAGAATAATGGCGTAAGCCTGATACTTTCTAACATATAGAAACAGTTTCTCAGTTATCACCTCAATTACTAACTGGTTTGTCAGGAGAAAGCAGCGAAGCCAAACCAGTTCAGATCGGTTCACGTAACCCGGTGAATATTGTTAATGTACTTTGTTGTTTGTTCTACAAATTGTGTTTATTATATTATCACGTCGATTCACGTGACCTGGTCAGAACAATCTCAACGTAGATCAATAAAATAATGACCCAACAATATTTTTAATGTACTTTGTTGTTTGTTCTACAAATTGTGTTTATTATATTATATTATCACGTCGATTCACGTGACCCAGTCGGAACAATCTCAACGTAGATCAATAAAATAATGACACAACAATATTGTTAATGTACTTTGTTGTTTGTTCTACAAATTGTGTTTATTATATTATATTATCACGTCGATTCACGTGACCCGGTCAGAACAATCTCAACGTAGATCAATAAAATAATGACACAACAATTTTTTTTAATGTACTTTGTTGTTTGTTCTACAAATTGTATTAATTGTGTTATATTGTTTTTCATATTTTTATTACACACGATGTTTGATTTGTTTGTTGTATTGCGATAATAGGACACGAACGATGGATCTTAGGTCCACAGTCCATGACAATAAAGTAAAACGAATTTCTTATGTTTACTTTACACGAAAATGTTTTTGTGATATATATTTAACATTGTTGAATTGAAGAAATAGAAATATTTCCACGGTTTATTTAGACTGTTACTTGGAACTACAGAAATGAATTATTGGTATGCATATTAAGCAACAAAGATAGATTTATTACCTATACGTTACAATGTGCAATACAGGGTTAAATGTTGTATGATCACTGAACCAGTTTAAAATTACAAATACTTCAAGTGTTCACGTAAGTACCCCACATTAAAAGTTGCATGAAAAGCAGCATAATTAATATCCTTAATCAGTGGTGTAACTACAAAAGATGCCCCCCCCCCACACATACAATGTATTTGGGCTCCCTATATTTACTTCCATATATTTGTGGTTATGATTCTGGCTGATTCGAGTCCCCTTTTGGCTCGAGCCTCCTCCCCCCTCGCAATTGCGGGGGTATACTTATGCAACTGTTCTTGGCCCGGCATGGCCAGGTGGTTAGGGCGCTCGACTCGAAATCTAAGGGTCGCGGGTTCGAGTCACCGTCACACCAATCATGCTCGCCCTTTCAGCCGTGGGGGCGTTATAATGTGACGGTCAATCCCACTATTAGTTGGTAAAAGAGGTAGCCCAAGAGTTGATGGTGGGTGGTGTCGACTAGCTGCCTTCCCTCTAGTCTGTCACTGCTAAATTAGGGACAGCTAGCGCAGATAGCCCTCGTGTAGTTTTGCGCGAAAGTAAACAAACCCAACCAGATGACCAGTTTTAAAGACGCTAACAGCATTGTGATTGTTGTTGTTTCTTCGCTTGACGGCGCTCATTAAATTCTGCTGGGACCAACATTCTCTGCCACACAATAGAATCAACTCGACCTTCTCATGCTTTAGTAGCGCAATGATCAGTCACGTATCTGGAATTATGAAAAGCTGAAAATCACCTATGGTTCCAGACTTTTCGGCAATCCTGTACAAAATTGTTGGACCTTTCTTCAACAGGGGGTAAGCTGAGGATTAAACTACACTTGTGTACACCGCAGTTTCTTACAGTGTTGTATCGTGTTTCTTCGGACTTGGGTCATATGACTGACATATTGTGTAATTATTAAATAGTTTGTAAAGACGTATAACAAAGGCACTTTCTTTTAAAAATAAGGGTCTCTAGAAATTGAAGGATCTCAATTCTAATATTTTGTTTAACCTTATAAACACTACTGAATCTATACATTTTATTTTGTTTTCTTTGCAATACGTTTATTACTTACTGCGGAAAAAAACAACAACAACTAAAACTGGCAAGAATTTTGTTTGGAGGAAGAGAAAGCAACGTGATAGTTGCTTGCTCTTCCCAACAGGTGGTGTTCAGGAACAATTGTTCCCCCTTCAAACCCGAGCGTGGGAAATTTTTTCCCACGCTGGTGGTTATTTTTGATTTCTTGCAATCATATTTGTGAAGAACTTCGGAGAAGACACGAAGACCTTGGCACTAAAGGATTTCTTGTTCTTCGTGATTGGAGGTTTAATTCCAGTTGAAGATGTAGTTCAGCGACGTGGAGAGACAGACACTATGACCAAAATAACCAGTTGTTTTACTTATAACATTTTAAAATGAAAAGAACCAACATTATGATTTTCGAAAAATAAACCATCTGGAGATGAAGGCCTTTTTCAGAGGGAGTGTCAGTAACTATCATTGCTAATCCGGGGGGGGGGCAGATCCCCTGCAAAAAGAAAGAATCGGTACTAAGTTCTGATGAGTGCTAATAAATATAGTTGCTAATCCTGGGGGGGCAGATCCCCTGCCCATTTAGCAGTGACACTTGGAATTCAAAGAAAGAACTAGTACTAAGTTCCAATGAGTACCACTTGATAAAGGCGCCGATCCTGGGGGGGGGGGTCTCCTGCAACTTTAACATTGGGGGAACGGCGTGTGTATCTGTCCCCCACTTTATAGGTATCTTAAATACATATTCCAATTATATGATTATATAAACAATAAGAAGCAATCAAACAAGATTACCGAAAAATGAGAAACATCTCCCTTTGCTGGTCACTGTGAAATTTTTTATTTTTATAATTAACAACGTAATGCAAATTTTCAGTCGAGACAGGCGCCTGTGTCGGTAGGATTTCATTCCTGAATCTATAGTTTGTTTTTGTTTGAATTTTCGCGCAAAGCTACACGAGGGCTATCTGCGCTAGCCGTCCCTAATTTAGCAGTGTAAAACTAGAGGGAAGCCAGCTAGTCATCACCACCCACCGCCAACTATTGGGCTACTCTTTTACCAACGAATAGTGGGATTGACCGTTACATTATAACGCCCCCACGGCTGAAAGGGCGAGCATGTTTGGTGTGACGGGGACTCGAACCCGCGACCTGCAGATTGCGAGTCAAGCGCCCTAACCACCTGGCCATGCCGGGCCTCTGAATCTATAGCAGTTATATGTGACATAATGTATGTGTTTATTTTTCAGGTAAACCTGTCAGAACAGGAGCGACACCTAATTATGAAGAAAATCTAAAATAACTTCAACTTTCAAATCTAATTAAAACACAGAGCTGGGACTAATAAACATTCACCAATTGCGAAATTTCATAATGTCTTCCAATGCAATACGAGATGTCGAAAGTATAATTTCAACAGTTACATTCAAAATACACTTACCTGAACGCATCGATCGAGGGGAAGGATGGGAGGGTTGAGAATAGTTACTCGGCCTTCTGGAAACTGGCACGTGCAGACTTATGTGGCTGGAGCGTTTGCTGTTACTTTTACGTTTCTTTCCCAGTTTAATGTGCATCAACCGGGGATGTGGAGAATTGAAAATAGTTCTCTGGTTTCGAAACCTGGCCCTGTCAAAATAGGTTTTTATTTGGATTATAAACAGTACGTGCTGAGGTAATCAAGGTCTTAATCAGTGTTCAATTTAAATAGCGACACAATGTTATGTAAAACTTTACTCGAAACAAGAAGGACATTTTTAGCTGCGGCATAATGGCTCATAAGACGTCTCTGTTGATTTCTCAATTACACACTTTTAGCTCATAGCTCCGTCATCTCTTGACCGATTTGAAATCTAATTACATTTTTCGACTCAGGAGGTCAAGTCCTCTCGACTGATATACTGAACACGCTCAAGGTCTCATAGGTTAATTTATTCTAATGCCGCCTAAAATAATTTCAGTTTGAGAATAGGCTGGTAGAGATCCTGAGATCCTGTTAGAGAGAGGAAACAGAGAGAATCCTCAGTAGCCGCAGCACTTGAAATTCTTTTTAGCAGGATTAGAGTAAATTAATCTATGAAACCTTTATTTTCCTTTTTATTAGCTATATTATTTTGCGGCAACAATACCAAGCGTGGAGTGCGCGTATATCTGATTAGATTTTATTAGTCATCAGGATCTCTACCAGCCTATCCTCAAATTGAAATTATTTTAGTTTTAGGCACAATTAGAATAAATTAATCTATAAGACCTTGGGCGTGGCCAAGTACATCAACCGAAAGGGTTTGACCTCCTGAATCCAAAACTGTAATTAGATCTCAAAATCGGTGAAGAGATGACGGAGCTATGAGCTAAAACTTTGTACTTGAAAGAAAAAACAAACAAACTCAGACTGTTCTATGAGCCGCTCAGCCGCGGCTAAAAGGTCTCATAGATTAATTTACTCTAATTCTGCCTAAAAGAATTTCAAGTGCTGCGGCTATTGAGGATTCCCTCTTGTTTTATAAATCCAAACATGAGATGCATTATGACATATGTTTGTGGGTTTGTTTGTAATTAAGCCCAAAGCTACACAATAGGCTATCTGTGCTCTGCCCACCACGAGTATCGAAACCCGGATTCTAGAGTTTTAAGTCCGCAGACATACCGCTGTGCCACTGAGGGGCCTGTTTGTGGGACAGCGGTATGTGTACAAATTTACAACGCCTATATCCGGAGTTCGATTCCTGAATGTGTCTTTTCTCTAAACCAAACAAACAAATAAAACAAAACACTCTTTGTCTGTTGTTGTGCACACCAGAGGCATCGAAACCCGATATATAGCGTCGTAAGTCCACAGACATACTGCCGAGCCACTGGGGGTCTCATGACACCTAAGACATTAAAAAAGAAACAAAAAATCTACTCTGGGAAACAAGAAACGTTAATATCTTTTGGTCTTGTGTTTTAAGCCCAAAGTTCGACAAACTCCGGAGTTTTGCGTCGTGCTTACTTTCTTGAAGACCAAACAGAATCATGTTGAGTTATACAAAACGAAAATGTCGTTATATCTATGCTAACGTCAACACTTCAATTTTAGACTAGTTATAAGTTATAAAAAAATTCATTGGTGGATAAAAGAGCTCTGAAGACAACTTTATCAGAAAAATGGTAAGTTTTCCGTAAAACAATACAAACTGAAAATTTCTTTGTTCTAGAGCAAAGCCACATTGGGCTATCTGCTGTATCCATCGCGAGGAATCGAACCCCGAATTTTAGCGTTGTAAATCCATAAACTTACCGCTGTCCCATCGGGGGGGGGGGGACAACTGAAAGTAACATGAAAATACTAGTACTTTCCGTTATTGCTGGAGTTTGTCTGAAGAGTCATAAGTGTAATTGTAATTTACTTGCCTACCGAACAACTGCAGAGCGACACAAAAAGTGTAATTGTAATTTACTTGCCTACCGAACAACTGCAGAGCGACACAAAAAGTGTAATTGTAATTTACTTGCC